CTCCCCCCCTTTTTCCCCCCTCCAACTCCCCAAACCCGAACTACAGCCACTCCTCTTAACAACACAATAGCACAATAGTGTATTCATAGCTGTGTCCCTATCTATGGTTCTTGAGAGTAAGCTCTTATAAGTAAGGACTTCCTGCACTTGCTATATTAGATTAGGCTAGAACACGGAGAAGGACTGTTAAGCCCACAACATTTTTATACAGTTCGAATTTTTTTAAAGTCTGTGAGTTTAGTTTATGTGTGTGGTTTCGTGGGACGGGGAGAGGGATTACACAAGGAGCCTATCTTGAGAAAACAGCATCCAAGTATTTTGGCCAACACTAGTAATACATTCGAAACACTATAATATCATACCGCCCCTATATACCCGGGGTTATTATTGGACACGCTGGGTTTGTAACCATACGTACAACTGAACCTGTCTAAGAAGGCCACCCTTTGTTGAGGAGCACAAGTCAAATGGTCACCTCACGTACTTTCTAGGACAGGTGGCCCTCCTGTACAGTGGTATTATAATGCCTGGGAAATAAACGCATGCGCAAGCAAGGGGAAAAGAGGAGAATGGTCGTTTGTACAGAGGCCAGTTTCTAGGACAGTGATATAGTGCTAGACGACAAAGAGTATGTCTCAAAGTCCAGCTGGCACACAAAACAGTGACACCACATCAAATACAATAAACCAATTAACCTAAGAGTGTACATTAAAGAAAAAAATCTCTTCGTCGCCCTTCCTTTTCTGTAAAAGAGAGAAGCATTTCGGAATAAAATGTCCATTGAAACCACATGTTTCAAATAACACAAAATCCCTAAGGTCAAAGGTAAAACCTAAAAAGAACTTCACCCTAAAGTCTCAAACTGAACGAAAGAAAGAATTTAAAAAATCAAATAACAAGCTGGAATCTGTGTCAACCTTTTCAGAGTTCAAGATGAGATAACGTAGAGATATTTTTAAACTCCTATCAGCGCAATAATAACAAATACAATGTGATGACTATGTCAACTTGGCTTTGTAATCCAATAAGATAACGCGGAATTCCTTTTATAGTAACCAGCCGTGCTACCACATACATCACGTACTATTATAATATAAACTCGAAGAACACCACCGACCTAGCATGCGATTACGGACTATGGTCAGCATAATAAATGTCAGCAGGCAAAAAAAATTGACAAGATTATGAACAAAAAAAACCAAAAAACAAAACAAAAACCAACTACTTTTTAAATCCAGGTTATCTAGGATTTCCTTGTTTTGTTTGTTCTTTCTTCATGTCAACAACTTGAAGGCTATACGAAACTGATCGAGTTTTATTGCAGGATTTGATCCATCGCGCCTACCATAGTTTTCTTGATCGAAATCCATCCTCATGAGTTTGTGCAAACGAGACACACACTGAACACGTTTTCAACTTTCAACAAGACATATTCATATTAACAAAGAAAATTGAAGATTAGAGTATTTCGAAGTGTTTTTTGTTTGTTTGTTTGTTGTTGTTGTTTTTTTAGGGGGGGGGATAGAGAAGAAAGAATTGTACAGATATCATCAATTAATGATCAGGTTATTTTTTAGAGAACAAAGAAGCCTATTGGCACGTTAACGACAGTATTAATACTGGGAATAAGTAGAAAACAGAAACCAGAAGTAACGATGGTGAAGGAAAAAAAGGAGGATTTATGTAAGTGCTTTTCAAACACTGGCCTCAAAGTGCCAATCTGCACAAAATAAGACACATTCAAACGTGAGAAATGTATCAAAAGCAATAAAGTGACTTGGACATGTGAGCACCGCTGGACACAAAAATCATATTCCGAAAAGGGCCCCAAAGCACAATGCCCAGCAGCATGGCCGCAAATCATGTTCCTAAAATGTGTAAACTATTTTGAAGTCACCTTGCCGCATTACGTCAATTATTTTTCCTTTTCCCTCTTCATTTTAGTTGCAAGTCACCCATGTGACTAAATCTCAACTCTGATAACTGAGCAAACAAAGGTGGTAGTCGTCCCAGTTCGGTCGGAGTGTTTTTGCGAAGCAGTTGTGACTCTTGATCCACATTGGGCAAAGTATTCTTCCTTTTATAAACCACGCCTGCTGATTGTAGAGATCTACTTTTTTATAAGGCCCTTCATGTCCATGTATATCAGTGAACTTCAATAAAATGCCATTTAAGCGTTCCCGTAGTTGTTCCACGAACAAAGACGGTACTGACTCGTAGAATCGAGCGTCTTACATTTTTAGGAATTCGATGTTTTTAAATGCTTTAAGTATGTGTCGTAAAAAAGTATGTTTATATGTGTAAGGGGGGGGGGGGTGTCTGTAATGCCTAACGTTAACATTTTTGGCATCCAATGTGTTTTAAAGATCAAGGTAAACGTGTGGGTTTTTTTAAAGGACGGGGGAAAAAGGGTGGGGGTGCTCTAGAGTGTACGCCTTGCATTTAACTTTTAGCAATTCAATATGTTTGGCGCTCTAAAATAACCCCCTCACGCATGGACATGATAACGCAAGTGAGACCCTGGAGCAGAATGACTGTACAGAGACCGAAACGGGGCCTGGTCGGATTCTATAAGAGCAAAATGTCGAAATGACGGAATACAGGCGAAAAAGTATTGGATAGAGGTCAACTTTGACCCCCCCCAAAAAAAACAAAAAAACAACAACAAACAACAACAACCCCAAAACAAAACAACAACAACCCAAACAAAACAAAACAACTCTCCCTCACATTCTTCTCAAAAGCGTCTTTCGTGCCTGATGTTATGACTAGCCACAGGTGGTCCCGCAGAGAGAGGGCACCCCAGATGTTCACACTAGATCAAAGGAGCAGGAGGAGGAGGAGGAGGAGGAGGAGGAGGAGGAGGAGA